GAAAAGAGAACCAGGTCCGGAGCCCGGCTCATTAAGCCGACTGAAGTCATGTATTGCACGGCGCAATTAAAAACGCTGGCCGAGATTCCTCTGCCAGAGACGGAGCAAGAGAGGAGGGGATTGTAGGGAAGGAGGTGGGAGGGGAGAAGCAAAAAGGAGGTAGGTCGGGTTTCCACCAACGGCAGCATGGAATGAGGCAGCGCTCGGACTGAAGGAGATTGACACCCTCCCGGAACGTTTCGCACCACGCGCGACTCGCGCACAACCCACGTCAGATTTGTCCTTTGCCATCTACGCCAAAGTCACCGTCTTTGTCTGCGTGTTGGCGGCTTGTCCGCGGGCTAAGGTCTTCCTTCTTCCACCCCGTCTTCTATTCAGCGTATAGACAAGAAATGTACTATTCAACCGCGGTGAGAAAAAGTACTCCCATCCTGTACGTGAGTATAAGTTCAGACACATGAAAAATTGTTTTTTTGAGTTGACTTCACATTTCGGAATTATGATGCAAAATTCAAGCTTGAAAACCTAAATGAGGAAACAGTAAATATAAAGTACCCGTAAGGACCCTGCAGGTGGTAGATTACGATCGCTTCAAAAAAAAACAACTTGAAAAGGCAATATTAAAATTCAAGTACTTTCAGGAAATCGAAGTGGACGCTATTTCAGTGATTATGCCAAATTTGAGCACTTTCCAAAGCTTGATAGCGCGACATAAAAGAATTTCAACCCTGCGGAGTTTTAAAATAGCAGTTCTGACTTCATTCCACTCCCACTAAATCACCCTCTTGAACGAACAAAAAGCAGAAAACTTTGAAGCACAGGAGGACTAAAAACTTTGAATGCGCCTTCGTTGAGGCCCCCGTGTCCTCGCCGAGTGTAGCCAGTGTCTATTTTCAAAGAAAATAACAGGAACTCTGGAAACAATGGGTTGAGCGGAGGAGAGCCGTACAGAGAGTAAGCGCAGAGGAGGATGAAGGGGGTTCATTTTTCCCAGCAGGAGGATGAGCAGTCTGCTCCCATCTGCCGATTGTTTTGGTAGCAGAAGCGCGGCTGGTGGGACTTTTTTACCGCTACTTGGGACAGAAATTGTCATTTTCAACGTTTATCTAAAGTAACACTCAACAATGCATTTGGGCCGCAATCACTCTTCGTGTAGCGAAAGACTCACCGGCAAGCTAATCTGCCCGGAGTTTCTCTTAAAGGCTGTTCAGCCTCCCGCGGATGGCAGCAAAATCGTTGCATGCAAATGTGCTTGGTGTGTTAATATAATCCGATTTTCAGTGTGCTGCAATCCATCCATTTTCCCGATCCGCTTTATCCTCACAAGGGTCGCGGGGGGTGCTGGAGCCTCTCCCAGCCGTCTTCGGGTAGTAGGCGGGGGGGACACCCTGAACCGGTTGCCAGCCAATCGCAGGGCACACGTCGACCAACAACCATCCGCGCTCACACGCAGACCGAGGGACAATTTGGAGTGTTCAGTCAGCCTCCCATGCAGGTTTTTGAAACGTGGGAGGAAACCTAACTTCCATGAAAAGAAATCTGCATTTAAGCGGTACGACTCAAGTACCTGTGTATTGCTACAGGTCATTCACACTCACCAAGGCTGCGCTGCATAATATGTGGTCACGTCAGGCAATGAAGCTTTCAAAAGTGCCCACAAAGCTCTGAATACCTCGTAGCCCTTTCCAACATGCTACCTTTTGTGAAATGAGATTTCCTCCATTGACAAGAAAACCAAATTACATAGCAGACTAGCCAAAATTCAAACACTTTGGGTATCATTATCTCCCATGACGCCAAAATGGAAGCAGCCCGTTGAAGAGGAACGCGAGCAAAGGTTCCCACTAATTACAACAACCACAGTCAGCGTAACGAGCTGTATTGTTCGTCAAACGTTTCCATTCCTGTCCATCAAAATATTGCTTGACGTCAGGGTTCGCCATCCCACTACCTTGACGTGAAACCAGACTCCGCTGCTGAACTCGAAATGTTCACTTTGTGTCGTTGGAACAAAATGTTGCCCGGGAAGCGACATAGACATAAAGTCACGCCGCTGTTTTGCACAATCGTTAAGTTGGTGGCCAGCTTCCGCCTCTCCAGATGAGGCTGGCTGTGTTTCAGTCACACCCCAGTGTTGGGCACATGACCTCCTGCCGCATCTTTGATTGTGAAGCAACACGCAGCCTCGGATCGGCAAGAGGGGTTTTATTTTTGGAAGAAATGAAGCGATAGCCGGCGAGCGAATCAACGCGGTGACACTTTGGCGGTGTTCAGACCTCAAAGTCCCGCTGCAATCCTTTTGAATTTTAATCAGCTTCCAGTGAGTCTGACGACAAAGGATCAAATGAGAGAACGTACATGAAGAAAAAAAGAGAGACCTTGGAGTGCTGCGGCCAATTTGTGTCTTAATGCACCAAGCCACGGGGGCAACGGTCAGGCCACTTAAAAACATCCTGAAATCCACACGACAATAGCAGAAAGCACTAATGGATGGGGGGGG